TATGCATTATTTCGGTTTTTTTCATATGCATTATTTCGTATGCACAGTTTCCATATGCACAATTTCAGGGTGCCATCCGAAATAGCTGCTATAACTTCTACCGTTTAGACTTTGTTGCTTTTTCAATTTTTCCTAATAAACAATCGTGGTACAAATCCTAATAAACAATCGTGGTACAACGCTCAACAAAAATATTAAAAAATAAAATGTCAATAAGCCACATTAACATTGACAAATACAAAACATATCAATTCTAGTTTCTATGTTTCATATATAGACAATTTGGTTTAAAATCTAAACCGAAATAGAAAATGTTTGCCTCAATATGCCTTTTTTTATGTCTCTCAGAGAGAGAAAGCAAATCTTATGAACTGACGGCATCAACACAGCGAAATGTGGTGTTGATTCGAACTCAACTTAAGAAAGCACATTTACATGCATGGCTGTAGCCGAGTGTGCAAAGATGCTTGATACAATTGGTTGCTACCAAGCCTGTCCGGGTTCTAAATCCCCATCAGACGGAGCATGAAATTTAAGATTTTTTTTTATTCTTAAANTTTTTATATGTCTCTCAGAGAGAGAAAGCAAATCTTATGAACTGACGGCATCAACACAGCGAAATGTGGTGTTGATTCGAACTCAACTTAAGAAAGCACATTTACATGCATGGCTGTAGCCGAGTGTGCAAAGATGCTTGATACAATTGGTTGCTACCAAGCCTGTCCGGGTTCTAAATCCCCATCAGACGGAGCATGAAATTTAAGATTTTTTTTTATTCTTAAATGTGCTCTGTTTTTTTTAAACTTGGAAGGTTTGTATTTGAAATTAAATTTAATTTGTCATATAAGTCAAAAGTTTAAAATTAAAACCGATTTTTTAACCGTGTAGAAGTATGCTGGTTTTTGATTTCTACGTAATAAAATTATAGTTTAAAAAACTAAAACCTCGCTATTATATTTCCATTCGTACTGTCATAAAGTATGTAGCTTGGGAATAGAAATCGCTGCATCTTTTAGGCGCATCAATATTACATAGTTACATCCCGAGCTAATAAAAGGGAGGTAAAATAATAAAAATGACATTATATGCAGCGCGTTGCACAATATGCATAACTGAGCTATTAGTTGTTATACTCTCACAGAAATGTATGTGTGTACATATGTATGTATATGAATATAAGTACATACATATGTATATCTAATAATAGATGGGAACATATGTACATACCTAATTTGTACTCTACATTTTTTATATATCGCTCAAATATACAGAAGGAAAGGCTTTAGCTGCTTCACACGACGCAAAGTTTATAGAAACATCCAGTGGCATCCAACACAATGTTGATGAATTGTTGGTGGGAATACTAAAGCAGGTAAGTACGTGTATATCGAGGTATACAAAATTTATAAATGTGTACAGGTATAAGTTAAAAGTTTTCAGTTATACCCAGTACAATTGGTCAAAATTGAACCCTGCTTCACTTGAATTGGTACACTTCTTCTATTTTATTCTTTTTAAGTAACGGACTTATATCTTTGTACGGTTACCGGCGTAAGTTTTTCTACGCACACACGCAAGTTTTTCACATTTGATTAACCGAAATCAATTTGCGTGCGTGATTTCTCAGAATTTAGTTTCTGTCATATTTGCAGAAGTTTGTTGAGCAAAATTTGAATTCATAGTCGCGCCAAAATGTTAGATGAGCACAAACGTCAAATGGAAATGTCACGCAACACAAATCTTGGAATTTGAGTTANATTTAGTTTCTGTCATATTTGCAGAAGTTTGTTGAGCAAAATTTGAATTCATAGTCGCGCCAAAATGTTAGATGAGCCAAACGTCAAATGGAAATGTCACGCAACACAAATCTTGGAATTTGAGTTAGCTTTTTACACACGTCGTTCAATTTCGGTTGGTCCCATACAAGTTGTATGAGCATAAGAAATTTTTGACAGTAAACTGCCGGCGTGCGTGAATATTAGGTTGACTTGTTACTATCTCGAATTACCATCCATACGCGCACATTCATAATTCGATTTGACAGTTCTCGGTATCTCTATTAAACTAGGCGCTAACCAAGAATGATAGAATACAAGATTGCGCCGATTGCACCAGAATTCGTGAGAGTAATTTTGGCGTGACGTCATCGTAGAGTTGACTACTGATAGCAACAAATAAAACTCTAGTGATGTGCTGAATTGTCGGTACCAAATACTTAAAAAAGATTTCGGTACCCGATACCCATTCTTTACATTAAATCTTCGCCATTATATGCATTTCAAGTTTAGAAAAAACGTTCATTACTAATTTATAAGATATCGCAACAGAGAAATATTAGTTTATCAGTTTTAACCTTAGTCGATCCAAGGTTCAAGAAAAATGCTTTGACGGATGAAGCAGTCTTTCAAAGGGCAGACTCTGTAACCAGTTAGCGACAAGTTTCGGATCGATATCGCACTTGTTGACGTAAAAATATTTAATATCATACTTCAACAAAACCGAGACCGATTCGAAAATTGTCGCTAACTGGTTACAGAATCTGCCCAAAAATGCTTCAAACAAGTAAGAGTTTCTCTGTATATGGAACCGACATATATACATCTTTCATTTGAATCAGTATTAAAAGCTCTATTGGCTCCTACATTCNCTGACTACTGATAGCAACAAATAAAACTCTAGTGATGTGCTGAATTGTCGGTACCAAATACTTAAAAAAGATTTCGGTACCCAAAACTTCCTTATCGGTACCCGATACCCATTCTTTACATTAAATCTTCGCCATTATATGCATTTCAAGTTTAGAAAAAACGTTCATTACTAATTTATAAGATATCGCAACAGAGAAATATTAGTTTATCAGTTTTAACCTTAGTCGATCCAAGGTTCAAGAAAAATGCTTTGACGGATGAAGCAGTCTTTCAAAGGGCAGACTCTGTAACCAGTTAGCGACAAGTTTCGGATCGATATCGCACTTGTTGACGTAAAAATATTTAATATCATACTTCAACAAAACCGAGACCGATTCGAAAATTGTCGCTAACTGGTTACAGAATCTGCCCAAAAATGCTTCAAACAAGTAAGAGTTTCTCTGTATATGGCCTCGAACCGACATATATACATCTTTCATTTGAATCAGTATTAAAAGCTCTATTGGCTCCTACATTCGGGTTTTGATAGGCGAGTCTCCCCTGAACTGTTTTTGCCATATTTTTGGCCTATGTGCGCTTTTATTTGAAACCTAAATGTTTCAGTACCGAGTATCGAGAATATTAGATACTTAAAAGTATTGACTCAGCACATCACTACTGCTGTCATCTCGACTGTGACGTCAGCAAAACAGCCGATTCTGTCAAATTCACTGAGAGCCGATTAGCGGTGTTGTCATCGGCGCCACCTTCTGTATTCTCTCCCCCTCACTAAGGTATCACTCTAATGAGTCCTTGTACTCAAAAGACTGAAAGTATCGATACCTACTCAGTATCGGCAAAGTATCGAGTACTTACTTGAATTGTTTTCATCTTCTCTTTCGAGAGATACTTCCCTTTTTTGTTGTAAAAGGCCGTATGATTACGTCTTATCAAGGTTTAAAACATTGTATGTCCAAATCAAATAAAAAGCCAATAAAGTTGCAGGTATAGAAAACGTATATATTTAAGTTACTTAGTAAGAATACAAAATAATTATTAATTTATATTTGTGGCACATTACCAAGGAACAGTATTGGTTATAATTTTTTTAATTCATATGAGTGTATAGGTCACCCAATATGGATAAGTTTCGGATTTATATTTTTCTTTTTATTTTCAAATTAGTTTTATTCACTTTTTTTATAAACAATATAGATCATTCCATAACAAAAACTTTGTTAATCCAAGTTTAAAATTAAAGCAAATCATCAAAGTTTCATCAAAGAACGTAAATAATAAGAAGGGACAACTTGTGCCTTCTCTTTTGCGCTAGTACGTTTTCATCATAATTCCACACTTTTTATTCCGAATAAAAAGTGTTTAATTTTGGTGAAACTTTGATTTTCTTTTAATTTTTGTACAAAATTTGAAACTTGGATTTACATGGTTTTTGTCATATAATGAACTATATTTTTTATAAAAAAGTAACTAAAATTAATTTGAAAATAAAAATTAAAATCCGACACTTACCCATAAGGTCACCACTATAAGTATACAGCGCACTGCATCATTTACAAACTATTTATGAAAAAAATTGTATTGTTTCTTTTGGTACATTGCTGAGGAACAATATTAGTTATAATTACATATATGACTTCATATAAGTGTATTATTCACAAAATATTTTTGAAAAAATAGCTTTTGGGCCACACTGCCAAGAAACAACAACTTTTCTAAATGCTTTCCAGACAAGCTATTTCTACTTTCTCTACTACATGACCGCACTTTTCGCGAAAACTCTAATAATGGGCGTCCTTTGTTGATTTGCTGTTGCAAAGATAAAAGTAGTAGAAATTACTCTTTCGATACCAAGTACCTTTATTTCGATACTTACTCGATACCGAACAAAAAGGTATCGAGTAAAAAAATACTTGGTATCAGTAGAAAAGTATTGAGTATTTACTTGTGTTTACTTGTATCGATTGAACCCTAACCGTGGGTACTAGAGATGGGCACGGGCCGGGCTTTGGCAGGGGCCCGACGGGCCCCTGCGTAAGCCCGCGTGTACGGGCCGGAATATTTGCTGTCAGCACGAACTCGTGCGGGCCTGGGCGTTCAGTAAAATTTCATAAAAGCACGAAAAGGCACGAAAAAGCCCGTTGCTAATACTAAAAATTTCGTTTTTATACAAAAAAAAATAGTACATATTTAAAACTCTTTTGATAAGAGAAAAGCAAAAAAATAAATATTTGGAAACCTATAGAAAATATATGATACTAAGTAGTTTTGTCTACATACATATCTGTACATAAAATACCTTCAACTTTTTCTACTTCCCAGAAAATATATTATAAAAATCTTTGATGTAAAATATTGATTCGCTTAAGTAAATATACATATGGACATAAATACAAAATTAAAAATATGTACATGTGTATAGATACATACAATGAAAGTTGGCTCTTTATTTCCGGGCTGGGGCGTGTCCCGTCGTGCCGGGCCGGGCCGAGCCGAGCCCCACTAAAATTCTTAACGTGCGGGCTTGTGCGTGTTTTTGAAAGTTGATTTTGCACTCGTGCCGGGCCGGGCCTGAAAATTTAGGCCCTTGCCCATCTCTAGTGGGTACTAACAGCGAACCAATCCGTCTGATTTGTTCGCGCAGCATTTCGCCACTAACGTCGCACAAATCAGATCGCACTTGAACTTTGGCGACGAAACATGAGCAATGAAGCGGATTTGGTTATTTATGCATGAAAAACAAAAGAAATAAATAAAATAAAAAAATAACTTTTTAATATATCACGCTTTTATAAATGGACTAAAAATTTGAAAATAATATTTCTCAGTCCCATAGAATTTGGTTTGATAACTTTTGATTTTGAAATTTTAGCAAAATCATTATAACCATTTATGAGATTGAAAACGAAAAACGTAGAGCGCATGCAATACAAAGCATTAGATTTAATTGACAATGGTCAAACTACATAACATAGACCTAAAATTTTTACAGAGAAAGTACAAATTTTAGATCGATTTTAAGCGGTCGTTATTCATATATCAACATAGTACATACATACATATATTACCCTTTATATCACTACGCGATTTTAACAACTCTTGTTATTGTTAAGCCGAGCTTCTCCTCCAAGGTGTAAGCGCCAATCTATTATTATATCTTGTTATTGTTAAGTCAGCTAAACGACAATTTTACCAATTTAGCTATTCAGTAAACGTTTCCCTAACAACATTCGTTAGCACCAAATCAGTTTTTGTCGTTAACTTGGGTTGCCGACGTACTGCTTTTGGGAGTAAACGTAGTCCTTTTTATTGCAATGTACTCCCTTGTACTCCCAAAAAAAATATCTGGAAATGTACTCCTTTATTAGCTTTGTACTTCTTTTGTACTCCTTTTTCCAGCTATTAATATCTTATCATATACAGGGTGTAAAATAATATCTGTTGCAGTTTTTTTTTTTTTTTAATTAAAGGGGCCTTTATAGATTTTGCGAAAAAGTAGTTTATTGTTAATTATCCACAGATTTTACTTCAATTTTATTAATTTGTTTTTAAATTTTAACCTTCATTTGGGTTTACCGGCGGTAAACACTTTGGGAGAAAAGCGCAAGTCTTCGTCGGTTACTTTATTACATATCTTCTGTAACCATAGGCTAATTTCCCCCATTTGGGTCCTTTATACTCCGTCTTTTGTCCAACATAAAGCCTCATACTTAGCAATCGAAAAGAC